CCTTGATGACATGGCCAGCCCCCTATTGTGCGACCGCAACCTTTGATGCCGATGCGCTTTGAGCGTTTTCGATGAAACTTTCACAGTCATTAAGTCCCATTAAGTACTTCGTGATCTGATGAGAAGAAAAATGGTGAAAATTCGTATAGAAAATACCCTCACAATTGTAAAGTGTCTAGAATCACAAATCTGACATGAAAACTCACAAAATTTGGTACTTAAATTATTGATAATAGTCTCATTTTATTTTAATTGAGATTTGGACCATTGGAGTATAAGAAAATGCAATTTTTGGATTGAAAAAAGTAAGGTGATTCAATCATAAAAAGATCATGGAATTCTTATTTTCAAGTAAAAAAAATTGAACCAAATTTATGTTATAGAATGCTACAAATTTTCTCATTGATATCAGAACTTTAAGGTTGAATTTCTTATATTATTTCATCTTTAGATATACTATTACGTGATTCAAGTGAGTTATGAATCTTGTATATTAAATTTTGAAACCTTTATGTGATCATTAATGTCATCTTTTGATATAATAACGAAAATTAACAAAAAATTTGAATTTCGTATCTACTATGTATTATACTTCACCTACAAAATTTCATCAATTTTCGTCATAGGGAAAAATTGAAATTCTAGTTGATTTTACTAAAAAACTTTAAAAATTTACTATTTTTTGTTCATTGATTATCATATAGTAAGATTAATATGGTTAAAAAAGTATTTTCACGAGCTTTCCAACCATATAAAGCACTATAAATTTGGAATATAAACAAATAAGTTTAAGATTTTGAAGTTTGGATCAAAATCTCAATATTATGAAAAAAAAATTTGGAGAAGATGAAGAACATATTTTTCCTCCTCACCTCCATTCATTGTTTTGTTGTCCCAAACACGGTGTTAAGTATGAGTTTTTCGAAATATGACCACATAAAATGTCTAAATTAGTGGAACAACGGGAAAAAATAAAAGAAAAGCTTTGAGTTCACATGTCACCAATTGAGATTAGTGGGATGTGTGACTCCCCAGCCACATATTCTATATAAAAACTATATATATAGAACTTCTCATAGCGTGTGAGGGCGTGCAAAGGGTAGTTTGCAATTTCAAAAATTATATTTTGATCCTTAGTATATAAATATTATATTTTTTAAATGGTTAAAGTATTTTTTTGAATTTAGCCTATGTTTGGCCCTCATTTTTCCAAGAATTCATTTTTTCAAACATATTTTCAATCGCACATTCTCCAATAAAATAATTTTACATGTAAATTGAGAAATTTTCTTTAATTTTAACCACGCATTCTTAAAAAAATCATTATTCAAGAATGCATTTTTCTTTAAAAATGGAGTTCAAACAAGCTCTAAAGTTTGGGCGTGTAAAGGGTAGTTTGCAATTTCAAAAATTATATTTTGATCCATATTATATAAATATTATATATATTTTTTTAAATGGTTAAAGTATTTTTATGCATTTAAAGTTTAAAATATATTTTTTAAATAGGTAAAAAATATTTTATGACTTAATTAAATTTTTAGAATTTGATATTAAATTCAGAATATTTATTTGGGGGGGTTCTATTACCTAATTGGAGGCAATATTTTAAAATTGCTCCCTATTTTTAGATTGGAAAATACTTTGAAATTATTTTAGACCCATCCACCCATCCATTTGTTAAAAAAAAAAAAAATTTAATTGTATTTCGGTCAATTTTTTTTTATTTTTTTTAGTGTGATATTTTACTGATTTTAAATAATACCAAGTTCCCACAGTGGTGTTGATTTTGATGTGGTTGTGTGATCCATTAAAGCACATTTCTATTTTTCGTGTTTTGTCCAATGTGGCTAGTTTCATGCATACTTTCAGTATTTCAATTAGTTGGGACAAACGATATAATCTAAATTTTAATCTTTAATTTCAATTCTCATGCTTTGCATGGTTAATTAATTTATGTATTGATTTAGCTTTTTTCTTAATGCTTGATTTACTTATCACTAATTCATGATTTATCAACTGTAATAAATCGAGAGGTGAGTCATAAATCTAGAATATGTAGTAAAATTGGATCATTGGATAAAAGATAGAGATACATTTTTATTATTATTGCGGTCTTTAATTGAAGTTTGATGCTATGTAATGTGTTTAATTAGTTAAAACTTATTCAGATTCATATAGATAGTAAGTTAACTTAGCTAAATATAATCGATTTGAACTTGAGAGAAGTAAATTGATCTTATTAGTGAATTCAATTAAGTATAACTTTAGAAACTGAACTTGAGATGTGATATTAAAAGTGATAACTATGGTGAAATCTCGAGTCCTATTGCCTTAACCATCACATTTAATGGTTTAATCGAAGTTATCCACAATCCATAGAAAACACTTTTTGTTTAATTTAAATTTATTTTTCTTAGTTAATATTAATTTTAATCAAAACTATGCTTGAAATTTTGTTTTTGCCAAATAAGGAATTGGGTGATTTAAATTGATATTCGAATAAAATAATCTTCGTGAAATGATAATTTAAACTCTGTAGGTCCACTTTAGTATTTGTTTAATTTAGCTCCTATACTGTAATTTTATGCCAACGATACATCCAAACAATTGCAACTATATCAAAGGTTGGGCCATTGGGGACCTACTATTTCTTTCTAAATTTGAGAATTAACTTAGGGCATGTTTGTACAGTTTTGTCAAAAGTGATTTATTTGAAGAATGAGCAATTATAAAATAGGGAAAGTTATGGATTCACGTGTGAAAATTATTTTATTTAAAAAATGTATAATTCAAAATAATTAAAAAAAAAAAAATTAGAATGTGTATCGAATCAAGATGCAAATTTCTCTGTTGGACAAACAAAACATTATTCCAAGTGTTCCCAAGAAGGAAATCAATGCATCAGCAGCAGAACCAACGCAAGACTCAGTACACACAAATCAATCACCCCCAAAATTGGTAAGAACCAATAATTTCTCTTGCATCCATCCTCTCTTTTTCTTTCCTTTATACCAAACTGATTGGTACTCTTTCTCTATCCATCCATCTCATCACCATCTGGATCTCAGTAGCTTTTAGTACTGTTTTTCTCTCTCTAGGGTTTTGTTCTCTTATTCATTCCTCTCTAAATATGGAAACAAACCGCCTTTCTTCAAGAATATCTGTCTTCCTCTGAACCTCGCTTTTGTCCCAACCTAGAAACCCATATTCTCTTCGTTACTACAAATACTATAGATAATTTTGCTTTGTGGGGCTGATTTGTTGTTTGTTCTTGTGAGGTGGGCTATTTATATTATATTATATTATTGTGGTAAAGTATAAACATGGCGAGAGAGAAGATTCAGATCAAGAAAATCGACAACACCTCGGCCCGGCAAGTTACTTTCTCCAAGAGAAGAAAAGGGCTTTCCAAGAAAGCCAAAGAACTCTCAGTTCTTTGTGATGCTGATGTTGCTCTCATCATCTTCTCATCCACAGGGAAGCTCTTTGAGTTTGCCAGCTCCAGGTTTCTTTCTCTACTCACCCTGCGTTTGTGTAGATAAATAGCTAGGTGTAGCAGATTACTCATGGTGGAAGTTTTTGGGTGGAAGAGTACACGCTCTTCCATGTTGAGTTTGGAGCACCAAAAAACCTCTTTTATTACAAATTAAACACCTCAATTATATACTAATTTTATCGCTCCACTAAGTCTTCCTGCGCTCATACCTCTCATTGATCGACACAAGGACATGGAGCTTATATTTATAAGACTCGATGTCGGTTAGCAACCAACGTAATCCATCCTATATTAATCTATGCAGCTAAATTATTAATTAGCATATTCTAGATCTATCCAGCTTTGACAGCAATTGATTTCTTCTAGTTTTTCTAGGATTGGCTGCAAATGAAAAAATCTGGAAATGAAATTAATTTTGGAGCCAAATCGGTGGTGACTTCTTCAATTCTTCCTTCAACAAGTGCTTTCTAGTTTGACGCTTGTCTTGAGTATGGTAGTTCCTTCCTATGCGGAGTCCTCCAAGAAGACTCTTCATGAAACGTGATGTCATATATTGAATCATTGATCCAATTATATTCGTAATTCATTTTTCAGGGATGATCACAAATGGTAATTTGTCCTTTAGACTTGACTTGAATTTCTTTCTCGAGTCTTCTTAATTATTGTCAGCGATGCCACACCATCCAACTCTTTTTCACTATTGCTGGTTTTTTCTTGAATCGGTGGTCTCTGGTATAATGGTCTTGTTTGCCATATACTAAACACGAGACATTAGTTTGTTGAAATCCTTTGGACGATTGGCCTCTCTAGTTGCGATTTCGTTGGGCTTCTCGTGTGAGAACCTTCTTCGTGTTCATTTTCTTTTATTTCTTATTGTTGGTGTTGACCTCTTCTTTTATAACTATATAGAGTTTCTTTATCTTATTTCTTTATTGAGACCCTAACATTTGTTTGATCAACACTTTTTGATCGGTTAGCAAATTTTCAAGGTTTACCAGTGACGGTTGCTCCAGTCAATCCTTTATTGCGGTGATAAAACCTCTAAATTCGTATCTCACTCTGTGTATAATTATTCTTCTCATTCTAGCTTCTGAAATTTTACTTGTAGTGTCTAATTTAGAAATTTTGCAACAAATAGATTTTACTTTGTTAAAGTAGTGACTTAACGTCATTTCCCATTGAATGATAGAGAGCAACTCATTTTTCAGCAGTTCCTCTAGTAGTGTGGCCAACTTGTCCCATGCTTCCTTCGATGTGTTTTTATCCCTTCTATGCTTTGATAATTTTTCCTCGATTGTTGCCTCTATAATGAACATAGCCTTGCTCTCTTTAATTCTCCACTTCTTTAGAGCTCCAAATTCCTATGATGTGGTCACGTCTCCGTCACCAACTACATTCCATAAATTTTGTTCTCAGAGGTACAACTCCATGCAAGTTTGCCATGTAGTGTAGTTCACTGATTGTGACTTGAATGTTCTCCTCGCTATCAAGCAAGCTTAATAGAAGCTTTACAGTCTCACTTTATGCACGAACACCAAAAGCTCAACAATTCGTTCTCGATCACCTTGCTTTGATACCTAATTGTTGAATTTAAGGTTTGTATGAGGCTTGTTTTTAACAAAAAAATGCAGTTTGTAATAGTGTTACGGTGGAGAATGTGTGGTTAAAAAAAAGTTTCAAATTTTCGTGTAATATTACTTTATTGAATAATGTATGACTGTAATGGGGGTCAAATCACTATTCAATAATGCATTTTGATGGAAAAAATTGGCCTCAAACAAGGGTTTAGAGCACAAAAAATCTTTTATTACAAAAGAAACACTTGTACAATTTGATTTTATAACAAACTCAAGCAAGCACCTCACTTATATACTAATTTTATCATTCCACTAACTCTTCGTGCACTATTTCTCATAATTCATTTACTCTCTCACTCATATATCATACCTCTCATTGATCCATACAATGACATGTAGCTTAAAGTTATAGGGCGTAATGTCGGTTAGCTAATGACTTAATCCATTCTAGATTATTCTACGAGGGTAAATTATCCAGCTTTGGCAGAATTCTTCTATTTTTTTCTAGGATTGACAGCAAATGAATAACTCTGGAAATAAAATTAAATAATTTTGAAGCCTAGGCTATGGTGACTTCTTCATCCCAAGAGACCATGAGCTCGCCTATTTAGCTAATATAAATAGATGGCGGTGATCGAGTCTGGATTAGTTGTATTCTTTATCAATCTCGTCTGCAGTTCGTAGTAATATGATAATCTGCTTGCTTGATATTGTCACAAAGAATAAAGAGTGGTCAGGTTTGATGGAAAGATAGGAATCATTCAGAAAATATCTTCTAATTACTGTCAGCTGAATAGAGGGTATTCATTCTTATCTTATCAGTTTCTAGTTGTTTGTTGTCTTGATTAGTCTTCATATTCTTTTCTTGTGCTTTTGACAGTATGCCCTCTTCTAATCTATTTGATTAATACCCCTTACTGAATTTTACCTTAAGCATTGATATTTTTTTCTTAAAAGAATGTGTAATGAATCTTTAAATATTTTTGCTAGTGTATTTCTTCCTACTTCCAAGCTAAACTCTTGTTTAATTCTGGTTTAATATTGTGTGTAGTCGGAATCAAAATTTTGGGTTGATAGTTTTGTTATGAAATGGGGTCGCTTGTTATGATTGATATCACTTGTTGTGACACCAATAACCGGATTGAAATATTGAATTTATATGGCAAATAATATTGAAGTATATGATCAAATAAAAGAATAAAAAAGACAAGAATATGACAAAAGAATTAAGATAGTTTATTGATTCAACTATAATGGAGAA